GTTTTTATAATATTTTAAATGTATTTAATAACCAAAACTAATAAAAGTAATACTTATTTCAGACAGTAGTTGCATTAAACATTTTCATTTTAAAGGAAAACATTTGATTCGTTGTGAGCCATGTTATGCAGAACAAGACATAGTAAAGCGATATAGTAATAATAAATCTAAAGTTCCTGCAATCGCTCAAGAGTATGGAACTAAATATCTTCTGAAAGTATTAAATGACCATCTGTCTACCACATATCACATAGAAGCGATTAAGGTACATAAGTATAAAACTTTAAATACTTCTGAAAAAATGGCCATAACTCCAATGGGAAAAGCAGTCAATCAAGCAAATGACAAATTGGCGAGGAAAATTGGCTGTCTTATGATTCATGTTTATAATGATGCTAAGAAACTTACACTATCTGCTTATTCTTTTCCCAGCCGGGTTATTGTATCACAAAAAGCAAATTTGTTTCAATTAAATGGTGAAGTATCAAATAATATTGATGATAGTGAACTTCAGTATCTAACACCACACACTCATAAAGACCTTCTAGATCTAGAATGTATTGTAGAAACTCATCAGTCATCTTTTGTGGAAGATATTCTTAATAATTCACTCGCATTGTCTTTGCGCTGTGATGGAAGTGTTGACCGAACTCAAATCGATAAAATGTATGTGTTGATGAAATCTATTACACTAGAAGGAGAAGAAAAACTTTATTTTCTTGGTGCTGAAGAACCTGTTGAAAGGGGTGCGAAAGGTATGTGTGATGCTTTAAAAACAGCATGTGTTAAAAGACTTGGAAATGAAAATTTCAACAATATTTTGAAAAAAACATCTTCTCTAGTTACTGATGGAGCGAGTTCGAATGTAGGACAAAAATCTGGCTTGTGGACCTTATTAACAAATTTGAAAAAAACTGCATGTGGAACTGAAGTTATGAGCCCATTAATTACTTTATGGTGTGCTGCACACCGTTCAAATCTAGCATGRGAGTCAGTGAGTGAATCGGTTCCTGAAGTTAGTTTACTTTTTCAAAAACTTGTTGGTTTAACTACATTTTTTCGAAGATCTGGTTTGAGGACACGAGAATTGAAAAATATTGCTCTTGAGTATAACCTCAAATTGCTTCAACTTCCAAAAGTTTTTGAAGTTAGATGGTCTCAGTTTTCATATACGCTTCTTAATAATGTGCTGGTTTCATGGTCTTGTTTAGTCAATTATTTTAAAAATTCTTCAGATAAAGTTCATGTGGGCCATTTCAAGTTTCTTACTCATGAGTACAACATTCGCCTTATGGCAGTTCTGGCTGATGTTTTATACATTTTTTCAAGGTATCAACAACAATTGCAATCTGATGAATTGAATGTTATTTCAATGGATGAAAAAACTATGTACATCATTAATAAAATTGAAATGTTAAAGTCTACCCCACTTATAGGAGGTTGGGTTGAGGCTTTAGACAAACAAGTAGTTATCAATAAAGATGGTTCACTTACATTAAATTCAATAACTATAAAAAGTATAGAAATTCCACGTCATAAATCCCATCATAAGTTTGTTACACAAAATAGATGTCTTGCAGCAGTTAAACAAGAAATTGTATGTTCTCTTCAAGAATTTTTAAAACAAAGATTTTCTATTGATAAAAATTTACTGTCAATTATAAAACCATTTGTTGTACTATCTTCTGTAGCATGCATCAAAGATATTCATAATTTAATTGGCGCAGATATAGATTTAAAAGAATTTTCATTGGAGTATGATGAATTGATATCAATGGAAAATATATCTGAATTACGAAAAATGAACCTTATTAAATTAGTAAAAACATTATGTGGCTCAAAATATTTTCCAAATGTTTGTACAATGTTGGCAAGAGTGGCAGCTGCTAAACCTCATAGTGCTGATGTTGAACGTTTGATAAGTGCCAGCAACTTATTAAAATCACCATTACGCTCAACTATGAATATTGAGACAGAAAACTTGAGCTTATATAYAAATTATAATATGCCACCATTATACGGTTGGGATCCTAGGGACACAGTTTACCATTGGATGTCTAAAAAGAAACATCGAGTCCTCAAAAGAAGAAAAGGAAAGGAACCAAGTTATTTTAGTGGAGTTTTCTTTGAAGCATCTGGTAAAAACAAAATTATCAATAGTGACGATAGTGACGATAGTGGCGAAGACACTGAAGATAAAAAAAAAAAAATTTTAATTTGTTATTATTATTAATAAATTATAATAAATAAAGTAATGTATAAAGTGTTTACATGTGTGGTCAATATATAGTTTGGTAAATAGTGGTAATTAAGCGAATTTAGCGAGCGACAAATTTACTTAATCTGCATCTACAAAAATATTAAAATGTTGGGCAGTTCTAAAATTTTCTTAGCGCAAGCTCTGATATATGGAATCAAAAATGTCATTTGTGAATAATATGACCATTTCGATTTTTTCCCTCCTCCAGAACCACTAGGTTGCTTTTGACTTTTATGCATTTTTATAAAAGTATCTCTCAATGACCGCCATCTCTTTTTTACTGTATTGACATCTACAATTTATTATAACATATAAATAAATAATTATGTTTTTATATTGATTGGTTTCCTAATTTACTTTTATTAATTTCGTTTTATAGATATTTAGCAACCGGTGCATCATTTCGGGATTTAGCATACCGATTTCGACTTGGGGAATCAACCGTTAGTAATATTATTAAAGAAACATGTAATGCCATTTCAAGTGTACTCAAACCATTATTTATGCCACAAATTAACACCGAAGAAAGTTGGAATAAAATAGCTCATCAATTTTATTCTAAATGGAATATTCCAAATTGTGTTGGAGCTGTCGACGGAAAGCATGTTTCAGTTTTTTGTCCAAAGAAATCGGGCTCTTTATATTTTAATTATAAAGGTACATTTTCAATCGTACTTATGGCAGTAGTCGATGCGGATTATAAGTATATTATGACAGAATAGATATAGGTGCGTACGGACACAATAGCGGTGGTGGTATATTTTCACATAGCAATTTTGGAAAATTATGGTTGACAGATAATCGTTCAACTTTAAATGTCCCGGAATTAAAAAAGTTACCAGGTACTGAAATAAGTGTTCCATTAGTTTTAATTGGAGATGAAGCATTTCCATTAAAAGAAAATATATTAAGGCCTTTCCCTGGAAAAAATTTATCAGAACGTGAACGAATAACAAATTATCGAATATCTAGAGCTCGGCGCGTTGTAGAAAATGCTTTTGGCATTACAGTACATAAATGGCGAGTGCTTCTTAAAAAAAATTGAAGTTAATGCAGCTTTTGCAACAAGTATTACATTGGCATGTTGTATTCTTCATAATTTTCTAATTGTTGAAAAAAAAGAAACACCTTATGACATTTCTGAAACGACTGAAACCCACACTACAATAAGTGAAAATCAACAATTACATACAGTCAGATACAATAGACCAACTAAACGTGCAATAGATGTACGAAACCATTTTGCTGATTGGTTTATTTCACCTGCCGGAGAAGTTCCATGGCAGTATGAATATATCAATAAATAATATACTCAATTTGTGTTTTATTAAATATATCAATGAATTAAATATAAGTAGTTAGGTAATAACATTATTATTTTATATATTTGTTTAACTTGTACAATTAAAAATATTATTGACAAACATTCATATATTCATTATACTTATTGATATGCGGATATGCCATACCAAAAAAATAAAAAATGTAAATAGTATAAGTGATTTTTATTATTTTTATTTTTATTATTTTTATTTATTTTATTTTTATTTTCATTAAAAATATTAAAAACTTACCGTCATTTTTAAGCTCATTGGCTACTTCCTTCCATATTTCTTCTCTATATGTGGCATTCTTATAAGTTCCCAAACTTTTGTCATACAGTACTGGCCTCTTCTCGACTTCAACTATTAGCTGTTCTTCCATATTTAAAAAAATATTTGTAATAATATATATTTTTTAAGGAACTACTGGACCACACTTCTTAAAACTTAAAATGTATATTATGTTCGTATGACACAATATTTTAACTACGTTCAAAGTAACGGACTAAAATAGTTTTGTCCGTAGTCAAAGTATGGGTATCTACTATCTACTGATTATATCATTGGGAATACTGTGTTGATTACAAATTCTGAAGATAAAACTATTTTAAAATATTAATAAAATATGGTTCTATTCGAATGTCGACGCATTCAACTGATAGCAATTTTATATCGTACGTCGACGCGCCGGACGGACGTACCCGACTTTTGACGCGTCGTACCTGGTGTGCGGATTCGTATTTGAATACGTTAAATTCAAAAAGAGTACGTTGACGTACGTCATCGCAACGGACATCGACGTATTTAGTGTGGGAAGGCTTTAACCATTTACGATCCGTCTTCCATAATAAACCATTTTCTAGGGAAAAACCCATTTAATTAAGCTATGTGTGTGTATACTGTATAGTATATAGTACATTATATAATATCGGTCCATTACTTACGATTGTTATCATACTATTCATACTTATAATACTATCCTGTATATAGTGAAGATAATAGGTATACTCCTAATATATTATCYGCTATCATAAATWWATCGTAYGGTGTTGTGGTGGAGAGGGCGACTTTAGGTTTGCGGAACGACGCCRTCGTGTGCAACGTCAAGCCATATTGTCTATGTCTATCTGTATGATACATTTTGAAGACAACTGAACATGTAACATTGTATTTATTAAGAAGATTTGTAAGTTGTAATAAATTGATAAC